CTTTGAAAAGGTAATAGTTGTGTTTTGGGATAAAATAAAAATTGATGAGATATCAAATTGGATTGATGTATCAATTTTTATTTATTAAAGGGACAGTCATGGCCATATGAATTTGAGGATGGCGTATCTGAACTCACACAATGAATAAGTTCACGTCTATACATTTACATGAAAGAGGTATAGATACACACCTATGCGGGCTCGGCCCTGAGGCGAGGCAAATGAGGCCGCCACCTCAGGGCCAAACGTGGAGGGGGCCTCAAATTTTGGCCCATTATTATTATTATTATTTTTTATACCTAGGCCCAAATCCCAATTAATGTAAATCAGTCCAAGGCCCATTAGTTTTGGCCCAATTGTAACCTAAACCACTAAACAATCCCCGTCTCCTTCCCAGTTCCCGCTCTCAATCTCGAAATTTCATTCAACTCTCCCAAGAATCCTATCCACCCACCAATCCAACTGTTCTTCAAGTTCAAGCCGACGCCGGAGTGGTGCTTTTGTTCCACTTTTCTCCTTCCTTCCTTAAGGCTTTAAGTTAACCATTTCCCTTTCGAGTTCCAGCTTTCGAGTTTCGAGTTCCGTCCGCACTCCGCCGCCGCTCGAGACTGTTATTCGCTCTTCAAGGCCATCAACCGTCGACGGTTGACTGCTTCCTGCTAGTAGTGGCCCTGGTGGTGGACAGTAGACTGGTTGTAGTCTGGGTTAGTGGGTCTGCGAGACTGCGACTGGATTATCTGCTTCTGGAGACTAGAGTTCTGCTAGTAACTGGTAAGTTTTAAACTGGCAGTTGTGGCTTTTGTTTCATTGTTTCATTGTCTAATTTCTCAGTGTGTTGTTTGTATTCTTAAAAAAAATGAGCTACATTTCGATTCTTCACTTCTGAATACCGATTGGCTTTGTTGTGATTTGTGAATGATTCAATTTCAACACTTAGGTCTAAAATTCTGCCATTCTGATTGTTGTGAATGATAGAATTTCTTGATTGCCATTCTGATTCTGCCATTCGATTCTTCCATATGTTGCTTATTTGTGAATGATTGTTGTGAAT